CATCGATTTGGAGTCGTCCACTGCAATTCGTATTACCAGCCTGCAAAGTGATTCAAAGGTGTTATTGCAAATCAATCCTCTCAAAGGAAGCTGCACCAAATGCTGAAACATAGTAGCGGTTGCTCACTTACTTGGCTTGGGGATGGACAAGAGAGATTTTTAAGAGTTCCTCCTCATTATCAAAAGTCATCAGATTCACTCTGTGAGCGCAGGCGTATCTGATGTGGGACAGCGGTTTGGTTGTGTGGGCGTATATGATGTCATCGGGCTTCACGCCAAGCGACAGGGCCAGCTCGATCTCAGCCTGTGTGGGACCAAGATGTTTTTATACAAGAGCTGACTCTCAAGAACACAAACTAATCCTCATTATTTTAAGATATTCCATCAGTACCTTGCTGGCACAGTCGAATCCGGTGTCCAGAGCACTTAGCATCTTCAAAACTGCTGTTGTGTTGTTGCACTTCACTGCATAGAAGGGTTTCACCCGAGGCAACAGACTGATCCACTGCAGGTGCCTCTCTAATATATTGTCAAGATTTACGACATAAAAAGGCTCCTCGCTGCCCTAGAAGATGCATTTTTTGGAGACCTCTTCATAATCATGCAATATTTTGAGAGCCATCTCAGAACATTTGGACAAAATTAAGGAATTTGAATGATACGATGCCTCTGATGCTCACCACCAAATACAGCTGTCTAATCTTGCCATCAATGATGTCACTGATGCTCCTTCCAGTCTCTAATATTTCAATGGGATTCCTCTCAAGAGACAAACCATGCATGACTGATCCATTTGTAGTTTCAGGTGCTGGAGGAGACATGGAGCAGGAAAAGGCAAAAATGTCTAGATTTGTAAACAAGAATCAACTTCATTCACAAAAACCAAAACATCAAATTAAGTTTTCCCCCCTGTTTTCTTACCATAGGATGAAATGTTCTCCATACAGTGGAAAAAAGAAACCAACAAAGCTATATAAGCTATTTTCAAACAGGCCCGAGTGTGTTTGCAGGGCTTTCTAGCTATGCAGGCACACTTGACAAGGATTCAGTCCAACAGATACTCAGTGTGCTGTGTTTTATTAGCTGAGAACAGACTTTTCTCCACCTACCTTTAAGGAAAAAAACAAACAAACAAACAAAAAAAAAACCCCAAAACAAAGAACATCAGTAGTATTTACTTTACAAAACCTGCAATACTATTTTTTTTTTCCTGTGCAATGTCAATATGTCTCTAAACTAACTACACTAGGGAAAAGCCCGTGAGGGTACGTTTCAGTAGTGCTTCCATGTGTGCGTGCCATTCTGTCTCTAAACATGACAGCAGCAAGTTTTCAATGTAATGTAAAACTTTGTTAACATGACCCAACTCAGCACTCCTGCAATCTATTATAATCCACCAAGGTCATCAAGATCAACTCGAATGATTTATCAGTCAAAAATTAATATAAAGCCTTATAACTATGATTCTTATAAGTATGATGACAACATAGGCATAGAGGGAATGATACAAGGATGTTAAAAATGACATTATTTTGGCCTTTGAACTATTCTTTAAATAAAATAAAATCTTCATGTCTTACTTTTAAAGCTATGCTTTTCATGTTTGTATAAGGTGACCTGAAAACCTGTTACATCTTTAAAGTATCATCAAGAGAAATCATCTGCTGGGCTAGGTATAAATACACAGTAGTATAACACTGACGTCTGCAATGGTACAATAGCGATGGGCTAATGGACATCTGAAGACTGCCGGGTACCACAGACTTCAATAACTTTATGAAAAAGTGATGATGCAATGACTACGCTGGGAGATGAAAATCAGGAGCCCCTCACGTTTTACAACTTTACCTGACTCATATTTGGCTGATAGCCTGTTCAAAGTCATCTTCTTAGACAAGTCCAGAAAATTTCCAGAGAAGCTGGTATTTTTAGATTTTTCTCCTGTTGCTAAATCTGAAAAGAAGAAAGAAAGAAGCAGCAGCACATTTATCATATTCTTTTTTATCAAATATGCCACAGAAGGCCAGCATAAACAGGCAGTGAAAATAAGTTTGTGCTGGGAATCCTGTGTGAACATGTGCAATAAAGACATTTTGACCTTGAGCACCCAGACCCACAATGGCCTGTCCTCTGGGTGCATACTTACTCCCTGAGCACCTGGCACAAACAGTGGCGTGCTCTTACAGCAAAACAGCATTTCTCAGGTTTCTATATTTTTATTATGGTCCCTAGAAGTCCTGCACTGGCCACTCCACCTGCATAGCGAGCATATCTGAATCTGTGTCAAACTGACCTCATCTCTGTGTGAAAGGACGTTGCTGGTGATAAGAGCCGCTGTGTGTGCTTACAGCAACTGGAGTGCACTCCGACTCGTTTTACTAGCAGGCAAAGCCCTCGCCTTATGCTCAGAGAACAAAATTCACCAGAAGAACCAGCTGCAGTCCACAGGACGAGACACTCACTAATGATTACCAATTATGTTGCAAAAAAGTAAATAAATACTCAACTGCCTGGGGAGAGCTATTGCACTTCCTGTGAATAACAATGAGGAAATTACTCCAGAAACAGGCTGCTATTCAGCCCAGAGTGCTTGTGAGACAGTAAGTGAATGAGGAGCAACAACTTAATCTATTGCATACATCTGCTTCTACAAAAAAAGGCTGTATCTTAAAACCCCCCCAGAAAACATCAACTTGTAAGATGATGCTTTACTCCAACTAAAAGCAAACCTGTAAAAATAAAGCTGCAGATATTGAAACCATGTAGCCCAGAGTGGGGATCTGATAGTATTAGAAGTTCCACTCCATTACTAGCATACACATACAGGTGTGCAGATGCCTCTCCCCTGACCAAAATAGACTAAATTTAGTGGGAAACGCTGCTGCAACTAATCTGAGCTGTTTTCAGTCAGCTAGTCCAATTTTTCAGCCTGAAGTCAATGCATCAGATGAGGAATGAGACCACGAGACCAGGTAACACATCCTGTAAAGCTGCCTAATTAACAGCTATGAAATCACTGACTAATGATGAATCACATCCATCAGACCTCTGTGCTGATAAGTAGGAGGGTCTGCAGTTTTTAAAAGTGTCACAATTCTCTGTGTCTTAAACACACCACCGAGGCTGAAAGAAATAAAACTAAAACCATCTTTGGTACTTCTAAACATCAACAGTCTCTCACGTCTTAATGACAGGACTGTGGTATTAACATTTTTATATTTTTGCCTGACTACAGAGAGGCTTAACTTGATTGATACAGTAGCTCTTTTCCAGCCTTACAGAGCAACATGCTCTGTAAAGGACATACTGAACACCGAGATCTGGGCTAATAGCTTGTTGAGAATCACTTTGCTGGTGTAAAATACAACTTTATGCCTGTTAAACTGTTATCTTTGGAATTTTTGTAGATTTAACTGAATAGGTGAGTTTCTGCAACAGGCTGCCACTAAAGGGCCTAAACATACAATTTAAAATGAGTTCTGTGCCAAGATGTCTGTTATGTGTAGACACGACATTGGTTTGTCTTTTTTTTTT